ATAGGCAGGTTGCACCATATGTGGTTCATAGAGTACTGAAATAGGCAGGTTGCACCATATGTGGTTCATATAGTATTGAAATAGGCAGGTTGCACCATATGTGGTTCATATAGTATTGAAATAGGCAGGTTGCACCATATGTGGTTCATATAGTATTGAAATAGGCTGGTTGCACCATATGTGGTTCATAGAGTATTGAAATAGGCAGGTTGTACCATATGTGGTTCATATAGTATTGAAATAGGCAGGTTGCACCATATGTGGTTCATAGAGTACTGAAGGTTTAATTTAAGAAATGAGCAAGTATATGTATACTTGTATACCTACAAGATTGTAAACAAAGGGTTTCGGTTATCACACAAACAAGTTTTTTCCTCCTTACACGATGAGGATTTTCCAAGGAAGAAATCAATTAATAATGTAAATGTACTGGAGCAATGAAACATTCTAGTTAAATTTCGCGCGATAATTTCTAAGAAGAACTACATGCATGATGATCTCTTAGTTAGTTAGTTTGTTTCTAATTAAGCACAAAGCTACACAATGGGCTATCTGTGCTCTGCCCACCACGGGTATCGAAACCCTGATTCTAGCATTGTAAGTCCGCAGACATCCCGCTGTGCCACTGGGGGGCTGATCTCTTAGAGTTCATACCAGGTATATCAAGCTGATATCTGGAATTTTTATTTTATTTTAACAAACGTTTCGGAATAACTTATTCCATCTTATTGAATTATACGTTAAATTATCGTTAAAAATTTCTAATTACACATACGGCCCCTAGCATACCTGATATTATAATAAATACTCAATATAACATCCTTAACTGGAAAAGGTGACCGAATTAAGAACAGTATTTAACTCGAATATCATTTTCTCGTGTACGGTTATATAAACGAAGATATGTTGAATAAATAAATAAATAAATTAGGTTATTTCTACCATCTGTGCTAGGTTGCGTTTACTTTGATCACAGTATTTTGTATTTTCAATCTGAACGGCATATTATGTGACGCAGGGCCTAAACAGCCAGGCCAGAGATCTCAAGTATCATGTATAGTAATCCGTAATTTAAAATGGCTGATCAGAAAGAGGGTAACCAGTCAACATGACTACCCTTAAATCATGAATGTTTGATATTCTTATAACGCACTTACAGTTAAGTGTGGAGTTTGAATTCAGGACCTTCCGTACCGCAGACCGGCACGTTAATGGGATGAAATGGTTTGTATAATGTTATGACCAGATATCGCTACTTTATGTTTTAAAATATATTATAAATAACGTTCCAGCCAAAGTAGGAATCGAAACCCAACTGTCAAAGTAGGTTACCACAACAGATGCAACGTCCTAGACAACTATCCATTCCTTCATTTTAGATTTTCACGTGCCTTAAATCATCGTTTTTAATCTCGTGGCTGCGGACAGCAATTCGCCATTAAAATATTAAAATTATAATAACAATACTCATAAAGGCATTAATATATGTACTACAGTTGTCAAACCCTAGCTAAGATTAATAGGGAAGTGTTACTTCTATTTATAAGACTATTATAAGTTGGCGCTAAATTCATTTTTCCCGCTAAATGACAAAACTTAAACCACCATTAAATAGTAAGCTCACTGAATAAAAAAAAAATCTAATAAGACCGCATTGAAAGGTACATAGAAAGTATATCAAGCATGCTTATGCTGAAA